CAAGTGGTAGAGCGCTAGCCTTGAGCTGAAGAGCTGAGGGACAGCGCCCAGGCCCAGAGTTCAGGCCCCACAACCGGACCCCCCAAAAAAAAAAATTCTGTTAGTGTTGACTTACGGACCTACTTGAAATGTTCTCAACCTTTCTGTTGCTTCTTGTATTTGTCTGAATGTTAGCTATTATGATTACAAATTCAGTTATCTAATTGCATTGCTTCTTTAATGATCAAATATTTCTTAGTAATATAGCAGAGTTATGATGCATTTATAATGAAAATGTACTTGGATATTATACTTAACAAAAACTTAACCCTAGCTACTCAGGAGACTGAGGTCTGATGGATCAGGAGTCAAGGCCAGCCCGGGCAAAAAAATCTGAAAACTTCCCCCAGAAGGCTAGAAATGGAGCTGTGTGGGTGGTTACAAGTGGCAGCATGCTAACCTTGAGCAGAATGCTCAAGGACCACATACAGCACAGGGTCTGAATTCAAGCCCCAGGTCCAGCACCAAAAATAAATATTTTGGGATACTGCTTTCTGACCCTGTGTATAGTAGTTATTACCTTTAGTAATTCTATTTAAACTCTAAATATTTGTGATCACTGTTTTTTTTCCTCAAGTTAAATGTCTCTAAGACTTATTATATTTATGGGCTGCTTATTGACATGTGTAAGGACAGTAAAATGAAATGTTTACAAAGTGTTGGCATGGCTTGGATTTTTCATAACTAGTTCGTATGCTTTTTTTCTCTACCTCATCTTATTCACTTATTCATTCATTATTTAAAGCTTAACCTTCAGTTTAAGCAGTGATTCACAATATTAAGTGTTTAGTTAACATGGGTATCTTTCAAAATGTTTAAACTGACATCAGATCTGTCACATGATATATAGGTTTCTTTCCCCATTATGGTATCCTGGAAACTTTACATTCTTATATTGAACTTAGGCATGTAGCTAGCTCACTCATTGATGTGTCCCCCTTCCATTTTGCCCCCCCCAATACATTCTGTACAGGATGTCACATTTCTGATTGTCATTGTCTATGACACATAATCATTATGGGTCATATTTTTCAAGATGATAACATATAAATGATTCTTCATGTTGAACATTTTTTTCTAGATTAAAATGCATGCTATAGGTTGTATGCTTGTTTCTCTATCTCCCCTCCCCCAAATCCTTCACTAATATTCAAAGGAAAAACAACCTGCCTTCATTTTTTTTCCTTCCAAGTACAGTCTTCATTTGTGTCTGAACTTAAACTCAACTCCACATAATTCTCATCCAGCTTTACTTACATGGCTACTTTCAAACATCATGCATTTCCTCAAACATAATTCTCATTTCTTACAATCACTTAGCTTCTCTTTTTTTCCCTTTTACTCTTTTATCTTTCTTAGGCACAATAGCATTTTGTTTCAATCCTTTCTCTAGCTCCTATATCTTCCTTGTTTCCTAAGGAATTATCATTACTTCACTCTGGAATTTCTATCAGTGATATTAGAAAAAGCCTAAAGTGTCAATACTGTAGGATAAATTCCAAATTATTTTCTTTCTCCATTCCATTTCCATCTTTCCCCATACATTTGTTTGTGAACATTCTATTAGTATATTAAATTTCATATATTTAAAGCTTAACCTATTTTTCTTTTTTATTTTTGTTTCAGCTCTATACTGTTCTGTATTCAGTTGATAGTTTGGAACTTTTGTTTCATTTTGTATTTGTGCCAGTACTAGAACTTGAACTCAGGGCCTTGTACTCTGTGGCTCAAGTGATGTTGTACTACTTGTACCTCCAACCTGTGGCTTTTTTTTTTGCTGGTTAATTGGAGATGAGCGCCTCACAGACCTTCCTGTCTGGGCTGGCTCCAAACGTGATCCCCAGAGGTTGGCCTCTGAGTAGCCAGGATTACAGATGGGAGGGAGCCATGAGGGCCTCGGGAGTCAGGTTTTCTAATTGCAAAGGTGATGTACAGCAAGGTTACAGGTTTTGAACGGTGTCATCCCCCCCTTTGTTTTCTCCCAGTTTTTTCCCTCAATCATTCATTTTTCTTTGGTTCTTCCTTTTCCATCTATTTATGCTACTTTTTTTTGTACAACTTCTGATCTGTTCACTTCAACCACTTTACCTATATTTGCTAAGACAAATTTTTCCAAAGCACAGAAAAATTTACCCACCAATTTTCTTATTTTTGCCATTTACTAAATAAAATGTCTTAGCCTGCCTTTTAAAGTAAATGTTTCCCCTGGCCCCAAGTAGCTTTCTTTTATTCTCTTTCTTTCTAACATATTTCAGTTAACAACTACTACCTACTAAATAAATTTATTTGTCCTACCTTTTCTTATGTTTCTCTTTCTACATGGAAAATTTACTCAGAACCATGTTCTTAAAAGTATGTTTCTACCTTTAAAGTCCTACTTTATCCAGTTCCCTCAAGTAAGCTCTGCCAAAGCGCACCACAGACATGCTCTAGTGTTACTTGGAAGTTTAAGAACTTATACTCATGCTTTCTTCCTATTTCCTCTAAAGTATGTTGGAGCTTCCTTAGAGACATATATCAAAACTACATGTGTAGATCTTGGTTTACCTAAATGTAATTTGAGGAGAGAGTACTCTAAGGAAGTCATTTTATTTTTTGTGTGATCTCAGAGCATAGTAGCAGTGTATATGTGCTTCTGAAGGGTATACTCATATGGAGACTAATGTCCTACAGAGGATGCCTTAAGTATCAATTTATGAGAAAAGTGAATCTGGATTAGTGTCACCCCTTTCCATCATTCTTCCCTCATGTATCCTCCACCAAGCCCCATCCTCTCAAGTTCCCTGGTTCCACTTTCACACTTATACATTAAATATTGTGACTATTCATTCACTTACTGATTATTTCTCCATTGATCTGTACCCCCTTAATCTCCATACCCTTCAGACAAGACATGTTCAGCTTCCTGGTATTCATTTTGTTAAACTGTTGGTTAATTATTCAAAGGAGTTACATTATTATGTTTGCTTTTGTGTTTTAGGTCGTTCTTCACTCTTTCCGATAGATGATGGCTTGCTAGATGATGGTCACAGTGACCAAGTTGGCGTTTTAAATTCACCCACATGTTACTCAGCTCATCAAAATGGAGAGCGAATAGAACGCTTCTCTCGAAAAGTTTTTGTTGGTGGGCTTCCTCCAGATATTGATGAAGGTAAATTAATTTGGCTTTCAATTCATAACAAATCAAAAATAGAATAGAAGCCCCTGAAACACCCTTGTGAGTAAGGTATGGAATTTCCTCTTAGAGATTTTTCAGAGCCGTAATTGATACCCTCCAATGTCAAAATACGTTTTTGTTTTTGTGGTGGTCATGGGGCTTGAACTCTGTGCCTGGGCGCTGTCTCTCAGCTCTTCAGCTCAGGGCAAGTGCTCTATCACTTGAGCTACAGAGCCACTTCCAGTTTTCTGAGTGGTTTATCAGAGATAAAAGTCTCAGACTTTACTGCCACGGGTGGCTTTGAACCATGATCCTTCTGAGTAGCTAGGATTACAGGCATGAGCCCCAGTGCCCAGCTTCAAAGTAATTTTTGATTTGTTGGAATATGAGGTAATTGATCACATACTTTTAAGAGTTTTTTTCTAGCAAACAATACAAGTATATATTGTTACTGTATTTCATGTAAAGATTTCCATGCTCAAGGTCATATCCTATTTTTTAAATATTCCTCATATTTGAAAATACAACACTTGGATGATCATAACATACACACATACAAATATATTTAAAGAATGAAATAAATGGAAACAACATGAAACTGTATTATACATGTCAATCAAAATTTAAATTTAAGGATAAATGTACTATAGAGCATGTAAGAATGAGACTGTATAAAAGCCAAAAGGGAAATAGAAACAGAGCTAAACAGGAAATGTGAGTAATATAAAAACTACTGAACACAAAAATGGTCATGTATACAATGAAAGAAAAGTAGTTCGAGATGAAAGTTTAAAATACTGAGAATGTGTTAATAGAAAATCTACCACTTATTAGTAACACAAAGTATTTTTTCATTTTGTGTAACGTGTTATGTTTTATTTTCCCTAAATATTAATCAATATAATAAGATACTTAGGGGCTGGTAATGTGGCTTAGTGGTAGAGTGCTTGCATAGCATGCATGAAGCCCCAGCTTTCCTCAATACCACATAAAATGAAGAAATCATTTAAAAAGCTTCAATAAGTAAATAAAAATAAAGAGTAAAACTTTAGAAAGAAAGAGTTTACTTAGAATAATTCAAGTAGATCATTGAAAATCATGTCTTTCACTGAAACTACCTGGCTATACCAGACTTTCGAATACTGTATTAACATTACAGCTATTGTAGTGTTGTTTCTGGATAATATTTCTAGAACTTCATAAGCAAAAATAGCTGTTTATTTAACTTGATATAATAGTACATTTTTTCCAAGCCTGGGCTGTTTATGATTTAATACACTATAAAGCAATTAGTATTCAGACAATGTTGTATAAAACATTAAAATTCACTAGGTTAGTCTACCCATACTGCTTAAAAAATGAATTTATTTTGACTACAACATGTAATTTTATATGTTATTTCAATAAGATTATTATATATTTCTATTGTTTATATTATATATTATATTATATATATTATATTATATATTTCTATTGTTTTAGAACATTTGGCACTTTTAGTATTGAATTTTAGTAAATTGAAGTAATTAAAATATGAGATTTCTTTGACTGTATCATTACAACTAATTTTTAATGCATGTTGTTGTACTTTCTTAAGATGAAATAACAGCTAGTTTCAGAAGATTTGGGCCCTTGGTAGTAGATTGGCCTCATAAAGCAGAAAGCAAGTCTTATTTTCCACCAAAAGGTAAGAATTTCCATTGTTAACTTTGCTAGGTTGTATGAGCACAAAAGAAATACTAATTGCAATTTAATGTAAGCACTTGCAATTTAATGTAAGCACTTATATATATGTATATATGTAGTAATTTATAATTATACTAAGAACTTCATGCTGGGATTAGATTGTGAAGTGGGATACAATCCACCAAGTTGTGTAGAAATGTCGAGACAAGCATATTTTTGAGTCATTTGTATTAGTCATTGCTGGGAATAATTCCATAATATTAAGGTTGGCATGCAAGATTTGGTGCTTTCTTTTGTGTCATTTCTGTCATTCTTACTAGATACATGGTTTTTGTTTAAATGATTTTGATTGTTCACAGGAAAGGAGGGAGGGATGTATTTTCCCAATGACATGGGAATCTAAGCAGAAGCTTGTATCCAAGTCTGAACATAGTCTCGAAAGAGTTTTTTTTTTTTGGTCCGGTCGTGGGGCCTGAACTCTGGGCCTGGGTGCTGTCCCTCAGCTCTTCAGCTCAAGGCGAGTGCTCTACCACTTGAGCCACAGCGCCACTTTCGGCCTTTTTTTCTGCTTATGTGATGCTGAGGAATCGAACCCAGGGCCTCATGCATGCAAGGCAAGCACTCTACCACTGAGCCACCTTCCCAGCCCTCCAAAGAGTTTTTTAAATATTGCATTGCTCTTCTGGAGATTGGATTTAAAAGTTTTGACCCTTAGCATGTTTTATTCCTGCCTCCCTAGGGTTAATTTCATAGTATAATTTGGAAAATTTTAGGAGAATGTGGAATTTTCTCTCTATTTAAGGAATCTCTGGAACCTTTACAAGTTTTCTGTAGTCCAGAAGTAAGGTCTATAGCTTGTATTATGCCAAGAGCATTTCATAAACTTTGGACTCTACTATACTCAACAAGCTAAATATGCCAAGTTCTTTAAGAAAGTGGTAGCACTATTCGAAAGAATGTGGAAGATCTTGAGGCTGACCTGAGTTGGGAATTACTCCCAAGCAGTTTACTTGCTGTTAAGCTTGACTTTGAGTTGGTGCCCCAGTTTTTACTTCTAAAGTTGAAATAACATTTCACAGAACAACAGCAACAAAAGGAAATTGTGTAAACTTCCCTGTTTATGCTCTATAGAAAGCAGCTAATTATTGCTTTAGTATCTGTTTTTATGTATGTATTTTCCAAAGGATATTAGGCTAACCTATAGAATGTATAATGATTCAAGTCCTACTTGATAGGTTTTTTTACTTTTAAAAAAATATCTTTTTTCCTCTCTCCCTCTCTCCTCCCCCCCTACTCCCTCCCTCCCTCTCCTTCAACCTCTCCCTCTTCCCTCTTCTTTTCTCCCCCGCCCCTCTTTCTCCTGTCTCTCCCCTCTTATGTGAGTGCCAGTCCCAGGACTTGAACTTAGGCTTAGGGCCTGGGCACTGTCCTGAGCTTTTGTGCCCAAGGTTAGCACACTCAAGTTTACCACTTGAGCCACAGCTCCACCTCCTGAACTTTGAGATCCTCAAACCTCAGCTTCATGATTAGCTAGAATTATAGGTGTGAGGTCCAGATAAAGAGCATGTATTTTCTAAATAATACTGGTATTTGAGGGGAAATCACTTAACATAATGCTTCATTTTTATTGGTTATTCTAGGCTATGCATTTCTTCTCTTTCAAGAAGAGAGCTCAGTTCAGGCCCTAATTGATGCTTGTATTGAAGAAGATGGAAAGCTCTATTTGTGTGTTTCCAGCCCTACTATCAAGGACAAACCTGTAAGTAAATATTGTATGAACTTTAGGCTACAAACAAAGTTTTCCATAAAGTATTTGGAATTTTTTTAATGGAGTTAGTTTTTTTAAAACATCCAGATAACTTAGGATATCAAGATAGAAAACCATAACTAAAATTTGTTTTCAAATCCAACTATGAAAATTGTTAAACAAGGAAAGAACTAAAACTAAGTGTAATTTTCTTTATTCTATAGGTTCAAATCCGTCCTTGGAATTTAAGTGATAGTGATTTTGTCATGGATGGTTCTCAGCCTTTGGATCCCCGAAAAACTATTTTTGTTGGAGGTGTTCCTAGGCCACTACGGGCTGGTAAGTAGAGTATTCTTAAAAAAAAAATCATTAAATCTTTGGTAGCTATATTATGTATCTGTCACTGTGGAGTGATTAGGGGTATATATTTACTTCTGTAGTTGCTCCTTATAGAATTTTGAGCATATTCTAAGTAATTTTCTTAAAGCTTTCAAGAAACTGGGTAATTGGACACTCACCTATCAGTCTTAATAGCTAACAAGCAGATTCTAAGAATTTGTATATTCTGAAGAAACTACTTGAATACTTGAGAATTCTTAAATTTAGTTCTCTAAGCTACAAGATCTTTGGGTCCGTGTATTTGGGTGCATTCTGGCATATAAAAAGTATGTTTTTTTCTCTTTACTATGTTTTAACCATTGACTTAGCATTGTAGACAAGAAAGCCAGTAGCTTCTGTTTATCAACAAGAGGACCCTGAAAAACATCATATAGGATATAATCATAGTTGTAAACACACATTATCCATAAAGGTTGTATGACATCACACACCATCTGGAGGCTTTAGTGGTTTCTTTCACTGAAAACATCCTCTTCCAGCATGGATTAAAGACTTATTCTCATGCATAAATACTTAAAAGAAGATGATGGGCTTATACTTAAAAAAAGTCTCTGGGAAATGAGTGGATATGTTATTGGATTGAAGCTTATCCAAAGATTAAACAGAAGGACTAGAGTTGGGTCAGTATTAAGTGTTTTGAAGAGTCATTTCAAAGAGAAATCTTGAGTGCAGGAAAATAGGGCACATTGGAAACTGGAAGAGCACTCTGGCTGGTTTAGGGATACAAGGAGTGGAAGAACAACACACAAGAAGACACTGAAAGGCAAACAGATTACATGAGGCTAATAGGCTAATTTGGTGTTTCCCCTTAGAACTGAAGAAGGTTTTTGGTTTGTTTTGTGTTGGTCCAGGGGCTTTAAGTCAGGGTCCAGGCTCTGTCTTGAGTCTTTTGGTGATTAATTGTATGTAAGAATCTCTCAGACTTTCCTGCCTGGATGGGCTTTGAACTGTGATTCTCAGGTGTGTCAGCTTCCTGATTAGCTAGGATTACAGGTGTGAGCCACTGATGCCTAGCTCATTTTTTTTTTAAAGCAAAGACATCTCCTCTGAGAGAAGTCAAGTTGTCCTAAATATGGGTAGGCCACATTAGAAGTCTATAATTGTAGTTCATGAGAGAGTTTTCTAGAATTATTAGGGACAATGCAGAAAGAACGCTGTTGGGGGAGGTTACTAATATTGAGCTTTTGCTCTTAAGTCAGTAGGTAGAGAGAGCTATGAGGAACACTGAAGATAGAGAGAAAATTAGGAGGGAAGATTGTGGTATGTTTTTGGTTTTTAAGTACAAATTTATGGCAGTATTTAAAATTCCAGGCTATCCTTCAACAACTGCCTTTCGTTAGGTTCCTACTAGCTTGCTTTTTAAGAAAAACACTTTGAAATGTGTTTCCTCATGTATAATATTGACCTCCTTTCCTTTTGAAGTGGAACTTGCTATGATCATGGATCGGCTGTATGGGGGAGTTTGTTATGCAGGAATTGATACAGATCCAGAACTGAAATACCCAAAAGGTGCTGGGCGAGTTGCTTTCTCCAATCAGCAGAGCTACATTGCTGCCATCAGTGCTCGGTTTGTTCAGCTTCAGCATGGCGATATTGATAAACGTGTAAGTTGCATATTGGAGGATCACTTATGTCATATAATAATGTGTTTTTTCAGCGCTTACTACACTAAGGAGTTAATATTATAATTCAAGCCTTCTGTTTTATACTCCTTTATCTCTTAAAATTATGTTAAAAATGTCCTTGAAATAGTGAAATTCTTGAACATATTTTAAACTTTAAGTGTAATATAAAAAGCATGATACAGGTATGATTTTTAAATTACAGAGGTTTTCTATCAAGCAGTAAGTCACAACAGTGTTTCTAACTGTGAGGGCAGAATTTTAAGAGCCGTACTCAAGCCAGAGTGCTGGGATTGAATCCCATTTCCAGAACTTGCTCTATAATCTGTGCACATCAGGCCTGGGCATGCCACTTTGCATCACTCACAGAGTGGGAGACAATACTGTGCCTGTCTCAGTTATTTTGAGAACTAAATGAATTTTATGTATGCACAAGCATTTAGAACAGAATTTGGTATGGGATGCTATTTAATAGGGTTCAAACAAGAAAGCTGGCTTCCTAATACCAACTTGAGAGTAAGCTATTACAGCTAAGAGTAGCCAATCCTAATTTACAAGTATTTACTGTAGACCACACTAGCTTATGTTTCTCGTGTATACACTAGCCCTCAGAACTCTGAGACAGCTTCTATCATTCTTTATGAGTATAGAAACTGGGGTTGACAGGTTTTATTTATTGTTCAGAGCTGTCTGATGTCTTCTGCTGAATCATTCCTTTACCCATGGGGTTTTACTATCTATCACAGAAGTCTAAATACACCTGTAAGATGAACCACAGTTCTGGTCTGTCTGTACCAGTTATTTACAACCAAATTATGGCTCTCACCTGTAGTAGAGAAGAGTTGTTGTAACCAGAGGCTGTTCAAGTCTTGCCATTTCACAGGTGGTATCAGAATGAGTGGGAAACTGAAATCACTGATCTTCCATGACTGTCCATTTGAGTGTCCACTTACAGTCATTCCTACCTCAGAGCATACCCAACACACAGGTGTTGCTTTAAGACAGAGCAGGTGGAATGCCTTGCCAATCAGTTAGATTTTTGTTGTATTTTTAAAAATATTTTCTGTCTTTGGAAAATACAGTAAGCATTACTTAGTCCTTTGAAAAAAACACATTAAAGTAAGTGAGGTGAGTGATTGCTTAACTGCACGGTCAGTTCTAAACATAAAACATGTAGCTTCAATACAACTAACCCTGGAACAAAATTACTTTTTAAAAAATTTAAGTTATTGTATGATAAAGCTAAATGCACTGGGAAACTTCCTCTTTTCTCACCTTTTAATGATATCTAGAACAGTGTAAGCATTTTAAATCATTAGAGACTTGACTTCTGAAGCAGATCCTAATGAG